CCGCTTCCAACGGTGCCAAACGGGAAAAACGTGAGCCGGCCAACACTTAAACCGCCTTCCATGGTAGCAAAAATTTGAGCGTGTGAAGTCACTATGTTCATGAACAACTATTTAGTCTGCCGACTGCCCCCCCCCCACCTTCCAAGTCACACCGCGCCCAGGATTGTGTCCTGTTCCATCGTGTTCTTATTTATCATGTTTCTCTTTTGTTTTTAGATCCGTGAAATATTCCTATTTGTGGATATCGATCCGAGAAAAGTAATTCCTCATTTTAATTTTTAAAATTATTGCATGTCCGCATGGAGCGTTTTTCAAACGTGAACCCTTACCACAACACTTGAAACAACAACCACAGCGGCTGTGTCGAAAATCTATTCTGTGGGTTGGTAGAGTAGCCCACGAGTGTAACAGGAGTGACTAGAAGGTTTGCGACAATGGCGATAGGGCATTATAAAAAAATCTAATGGCGACTAATGTGGACGTATGGACGAGATACCTCGTGCAAACCCCATGACACCAGGATAACGGCGTAGCGTGGCGCAGGAGAATTCGTGCTACTCATCCGGCCTACCCCTTCCTTACTTCAAAAAGGAAGAGCGAGAGAGAGAGGGAGAGTACTTGTTCCTGGCTTTATCGGCGGTCTGCTTTTGTTTTTGTTTTCATTCAATCTGGCATCCACATTTCAATATCAACCGTTGATACCCCAACAACGTGATCTGGGGATGTTGCTTACAATGTCAAACTGGCCTTGTAGCCCTTATAAGGACATGTTTCTTCCGACAAGATGTCGTAACTTCGAAATTATTGTTAGCAGATCACGGGGTGGCGACTGTGGAAAATTGATTCCGCATGTGGTTTTGAAACCCTTGATGTTATCTGATGCTATGTCTGGCGCCAACAATAAGGCCATTGTTACGACAGGATTGTTGCAAGAAACAATGTATAGAGCTATACAGAGCAACAGCAAGTGTAATAGTGATAAAACCATGTGGTCTTTAGGAATTTTTTTTACATCCTTCGCAAGCAAAGCGCAAGTACAAGGACAACAAGCGACAAAAGGTGAAACTCGGGTTCGGGAGGGGGGGGCACGCGATGGCGCGGCGCTGTTTTCGTCTGCTCTACCAAGGCTTAGTCACCGATGGCGCGTATTTTGAAACTGTGCCACATAATGGCGAAAGAGTAACTGTCCCTGTGGACTAAGCTCTTGGAGGAGCAGACGAACAGAGCGCCGCGCCATCGCGTTGCCCCCCCCCCGAACCTTGATCGCCCAGACAAAATATAACATAAGTCGAAATCAAAGGAGATATGTTATACTTTACTGGACAGGGAATAATCCAGCGAAAGTTACGCTTTTAAATTGCAGCAAAAGCAAGCAGTCTTCGGCATGTTAAAGGGAAGGTTGGTGAGCATGGAGAAATGAAGTTAAACTCAAGTACCCAGGTGAACAGCATAGGATACTGCCGTGAGCAAACAGAAAAGAGGTACTCCAAGACTCGTGTAGCCCAGGACGGGGGCAAGAAACTTTGGTCTACGGCGTCGCCTTGCAAAGGGATAGCATGGAGACTCGCGTTCCAGGACCCACCATTGAGCGGATGGCAGGACCCTTTTTCATCGGTTTGAGCGACGCGAATCTTCAGAAAGCAGTGGGTTTTAAGAGCAGATGTTCGTTGGAGCATCTCCGCAGTGGTTTCAGTAACGTGACCCTCTAAACAATCCTTTCGCAGCACAGCGTCACGCAGTGCACTGACACGCGCCATGCGAGGCAGTGTCGCGCATTGACGACAGGTCGCGCGCCACTTTTTCGCACGTAAGAATCATTTTTCTTTGTTTCTCGGAATTTTTCATTTTTCAACCCCCCCCCTCCCTTCTATACTTTTCGTATTGACAATACAATCGATAGCTATAGGGAAATTGATGAAGGAATAAATTTTGATAAAAAATGGAAAAGATGCCGAGATACACGTATAACGGCAGAGGTTAATTCTGACGGGAAGACAGGCGAACCATACACAGTGTGCGGACCGACACGCAATTGGCAGCGAAGGATATGCCCCCGCGATCTAGCATGGCCCTCCCCGCGGCGCTATCGGCGCGGTACGCCCACGACTGACTAACCACTCGCCGCAGGTCTCTAGCCGTCTATGGAGAGAGGGAGAAGAGAGAGATGTGGAGAGAGAGCGTTCGCATCGAAGAGGGCAGCACCGATGAGAGTCGCATCAGTGCGGAAGCAACGGGCAAGGAAAGGATCCCGTTTCTCGGGTTCTGGGTGGTTTTTCATGGTTTTTTTCATCCCGGAACACTGACCACCACTATCTCAGTTCTGATGGCCTATCTGATCTTATCGTTAATTCCGCCTTTGACTACGAACCTTACCCTAGGAGGGTAATAAAGCGTTAGCAGAATGGCTTGAAAATAAAATGAAAAAGTAAACTAAAGAGAGAAGGAAAAGTAGAGAGATCTACAGAGATGGCTGTGAAATTGGAGGAGGTAGGAAGGCCATGTGTAGAGAACCTGAAGGTTTCCAAAAGGTAAGAAGGAGGGAAGGTGCATGCTAGGATCTCTTAGCTAACTTAAATAAATAGAACAGGAGATACCGTCATCACTTTGGTTCTGAGAAAATCGTCATGAAAACTGAAAGATGGAGTGGATGCGGGAAGGAAAATTAGAGAAGGTCACTCAATAAACTGAGAATGTGATATTGACAGTGTCTATCCGCAATGCTTTCATCTATGTAGTCATCCTAACTCTGGCGAAGAAACACCAAAGGGGCGTGGTGCGAGTGAACGGTATAGCGGCTTCTGTGCGCGAGCGAGTCCCGAACGTACAGCGGCTATATGTATCGACGTAGCGTCGAAGGGCGATCTGATAAAGGGCTTCGAGAAGCATTCAATGCAAAAAATCTCCGAAATCAGAAAAAAATTAACCATTTAATTCACTTATCTGCAATGACAAGGAATTAAGTCAAAGAAGATACTTTCAGTTGTAATCTGGCCAAAGTATCGTGTATCATATTGGGTAAGGGTGTAACGTCGTCGGAGGAGGGGGAACCCGCCCATCTTGTCGAGAGAGGTAATAGAAAAGCTGAGGTACCTGACAGGAGGCCTGTTGTGCAGCGAGGAAGCAGAGACGTAACGGCTCAGCGGACGAGTCGCAGCGCTACTGTGCGATGTGGGACGTACTATATGTAGCACATTCCATTTACTTGACGCTGAATCACTACAGTACGCGCTGCGACTCGTCCGCTGACCCTACGTCTCTGCCTTCTCGCCGCGCGACGGGCCTCCTGTCGGGTACCCGACAACCTTACTGGTACCACCTGTATTATCTGCCGTACCTTGGTCATCGAACCGCTCGAGCGGGCGCCATCAACGTCTCCATTCGTCCCTGTCGCCACAGCAGATCCTGGTCGCTTGAAGGACATGCAGACCTTTACTCATTTTGTTGAGCTATCTTTATTGGCGGAAAAACCTGGAAAAGCCTTTTTCTGTATTAAAAGTATGTGAACACTTTTCAAAAACGGCAATATCTCAAGAATCTAAGGTCGCTAGACCTACTAAAAATTCTAGTATGTTAAGACATCCTGTTTGGTATGCTCTCATATGTCCAATGAACCCGAACTTTGTAGGTGATTTACCTCGTTTGCAGTAGATGTGGTAAGAGATGAGCACCTACTTTTCCAGGGTGCCCATGAGCAATGTTCCAGTCGCGCCTGCCGATGGCTGACAGCGATTGCACTCAGATTCTCCCCAAGCTATTTTTGAAGTCCTACTTCAGAAGTGCGCAGGCAGTCCTGTTTCGGGTTTTCGATTGTATCTGTCCTATTCTGTGAACTTTCTGGTCAGTAATGGCTGAAGAAAGCAACCCCCATCGGAGAGTGGACCTCGTTCCTTCTTACGCTTCAGTTGCAGATGGCTGGCGAAGCGCCTCCTCACATACCAACTGCAGAATTACTGAAAGAATCAAAAAGGATATACAGTCTCTTTCATTCCTATGTTCGATTTTCTGTTCATTTATTCTCGCTCACGGTAAGCTGTTGCTGTATTATTGGTTCAGATTTTGCGTTGATGCGTAATCTCCACTACATTGAAAGTCAAAACAAGTTTAGCTTCAGCAACGTCTGATGTACAAAAATTGTCTTGATTTCCCTGCTCCGGTTCAGGCATGTATTGTCGCAATGCGCCGATTAGAACAGCTCCTTCCATTCGCTACCCATTTTTTGTCGCACGGGCGTACCCCGTCTGCTTTCCT